TGCTGCTGCAGCTGCTGCTGCTGCTGCTGCTGCTGCGGCTGCTGCTGCTGCTGCTGCTGCGGCTGCTGCTGCTGCTGCGGCTGCTGCTGCTGCTGCTGCGGCTGCTGCTGCGGCTGCTGCTGCTGCTGCTGCGGCTGCTGCTGCGGCTGCTGCTGCTGCTGCTGCTGCGGCTGCTGCTGCGGCTGCTGCTGCTGCTGCTGCGGCTGCTGCTGCTGCTGCTGCGGCTGCTGCTGCTGCTGCGGCTGCTGCTGCTGCTGCGGCTGCTGCTGCTGCTGCTTGAAATGCTGTCATCAATATCATTTGAACTCTTCTTGTCTGCAAAACTTCTGTTCGTCTTGACGTTTCGTCTTCACCAGTGAAAATACCAATAGGTCGCCCGAGATCTTTTCTACGTTCTAATCCTAGCTTTTTCGTTCCCAGATCTGCCGGATTCATCTTTGTGCTGACCTTGTGCAAACTGAAAACTTTCATCCGCAAGAGATCTTGAAGAAATAGATGACGGATTTGAAGGTGTTTCATTCGACCAAATCCTGCTCTTTGAATTGTACCCATCGCTGCTGATGAGTCAACATGCAATTTCACTTTCACTTCACCACTGTTTTCATCCTTTTGATCACCGCAAAGAAATTTGCACACTCGAACTAGAAACAAACCTTCTGCTATTGCTGCATTCGCTGCGTACAGTTCTGCCTCACATGAGCTGAGTGCTACTGTTGCTTGTGTTCTGCTGAAACTTGAAATATATGCACCATTCACAAACATGACACATGAACTTGTTGATCTTCTGGTAGAACGATCATCTCCCCATGACGAATCTGAGAAGATGTTAAAGTTGAAAACCGCTCTGTCCTTTCTCTGTTCTCTTGTCACGTCGCTCCATTCATCTGCTTCAATCCATCGGTCAAACACATCCTCATAGGTTTCACATTTTCTCAACATTACACCAACATGCTCTGTCCCTGACAAGTACAGGGCCAAATGCTTGAGAGCTGCCATCGCTTTCATGCAAGGGTAGGACATCCATGTAGCCAGCGTCTTTGTCGCAATCGAAATATCTGGCCTGTCATGAGAAACATAGAGAATCAAACCTAATGCTGAACGAAACAACGACGCTTCTTCACCTGTGAGCACATCTTGCTCTGGAAACTCTGAATTGTATGTTTCGAGAACCGCATGATGTGGAAGACCCTTCTTTCTTCTGCCAGAAACTTTCAACATGTTGATGAGCTTGGGAATATAAGGTACCATTGGGCTGCACCAAAATTCCTTCAGGCAAAAGTGTAATACGCTTCTTGAGGTAAAACATCGTGTCACCTGAACCTTGTGCATGAGGACCATCAACCTTGATCGTGAGACCGGAAGCGACTTCCTTCTTGAACCATTCTAAATCCTTTTCACTTCCAACCAACAGCACATCATCCACATGTACTGACAAATAAACTCGTCTCTCACTGTCCACCAACTTCATGATTGTGGGACATCCCTTGTAAGATTCCACTCCAGCACTTTGACACAAATTGGAGAAATATTCAAACCATCGCAAAGCTGCATTTCGTTGTCCTGGCAAACAACGTTTCAACCTCCAAACTGTAGACTTGTCTTCTGGAGATAGATCTCTGATCCATTGAGGGATTACCACAAACATCTCTTCTTGCTGTTCAACACACAAGAAAGCATCTTTCTCGTCAATTCCAGTGAGCATCAAGTTGAAAACCATACTGAGGACTAGGAGAATACGAACTGCACCAAAGGTTGTGGTTGGTGCAAAGCTGTTCTCGTCTGTGTTGTCGGACTTGAACTCTCTTGCTACTATCCTACATCTTCTGCGCCACTTGTTCTCTCTGTAGCGCCAATCACTTGCAATAATGGTGTCAACGAGCTTGTGGCTCGGGATTGTTCTCACATCAATCTCTTCTGGTGCAATCACGTGCATTTCATACAACTTGGCAACCTCATCCAAAGCTGCTTGTGCATCCAACTCCGCAAGCGTTTCGGGAGAAACTCTAGGTGGGCCGTCTTCTTCAAGACGTTCGTTGATACCTTCGTCCTCTGAGTCTACATCTTCATAAGGAAGAAATTCCCAGTCATCTTCCAAACCAATCACATCATTGTGTGTGATCTCCACTTCACCAATACGTCTAACGTCCATCTTTGCCGCTTTGACCTTTGGCTCTGGAACTGGGTCACTATCAAACTTCAAAGCTTTTGCTGCTGCGCCACCTTGAGTCTCTGCCTTGTGTTTGGATGCTGCATGACCTGATGAGTCTACATCCATTGTAGGGCTTGAAGGACTAGCCCCACCTGCGCCAGACATCAACATCTCTTCTGGCGTTTGTGGTGCTTCCATTCCGGGATCAACCGGTACTGCACATAGAGGAGGAAGAGAAGGAACAGGAACTCGACCATCATCTTGTTCTGTGACATCTTCAAGTCGAGGACCTTCTCCATCGGGTGTTGTGGGCTCATATGCATTGGATTGAACTTCTTGTTGAACTTGTTCACGTTCGTCATCTGAATCTTGAAGTCCTTTGACTGCTTCTGCTTCTTCATCAAAGAATGGTCACGGTGGTAAAGCCAGAACTGGTTTCTGCTTCACCTTTGACTGCGTGTAGCCCGTGGTGTCCCACGGTAAAATCTCATCTGCAGACCATGTAAGCGCTGTCCTTCGATTTGACCTTGTCCTTGTAATTGTGCCAGCTGCTGTAGCCAGGACATCATGATCAGAACCATCTTTTCCTAACCATATCCATATCCCTTTCTTCCAGGTAGGTCGATACTTGGATCCTTTCGGATCAAGTCCATATGTCACCTGTCCAAAACAAGCGATTCTGTTGTGATAAGGTCGTCCATTCACAGCTTGGTATGGTGTGATCTTTGTGGTACTGTGAGTGTGATACCTGTTGTAGAGCCAAGTGGAGTGCATTGCCGCCCAGTAAAGAACTGCGTGTCCTTGTGGAATCTTGCACTTGATTGATTCCTCCAGTTGCATTACCAGTGTCTTCTGCATATTGCGGACAGTCTGAATTGCTCGTTCACAAATGCTAGTGCGATCCTTGCTGTAGTTGCGATTGGTCGTGACCGTTGTGCTAAAGCCTTGACGAGCTCTGACCTGCTTGAAAAATTCCATGCCACTGACCAAAACATTCTCATTGTCTCCACAAACTTCAACCGCACCAACATAACCAGACTTCCAACAAATTTTGAAATTGCACTTCCAACCGTCTTGGCGTTCTTGGGTTTGATAGGTTCTGCAATGTGCATATCTTGTCCATGAATCCACCATAAGCAAAATCGGCTTGAACCGAAGAGAACCTTCTGACTTGTCACGATTTTAACAAAGGTAAAAATCAACTTGGATTGTGGGTCGGTCTCGCTCTGCTGCGAGATCAGGGTCAGCATGACTTGCATGATAGTCACCTCGAGCACGAGTTGAGACACAAAACGGACACCAATCCCTGTAGGGTGGGTGAGTCAATTCATGGAGAGAACGTTCACGCTGAGTTGGTTGACGAGCTGCTAGGTGTGCTGGTTGTGCAGGATGTTCTTCTCGTTGATATTCTCCTCTTGCCATGTCAATTGCTGCACGTCTCATACCTTGAACATAGCTCTTCTTGATACGCTCAAACATCTTGCCTTTTGATCCAGCTTGTGAAATTCCCAGCAAACAACAACCTGCGCGCAAGTCTTTGACTGGAGACTCACTTGTCAAAATCAAACCATCATCCAGTTCCACAGATTCAATCTCAGGTTCTTCTCCACCAAGAGGATCTGGTTGAGAAAGGCCTGGAGGTACACGTACCTGAATTTCCTCGCTTGAAACCGCACCCTGAGAAACATCTTGACGTTGTTCAACTGGAACCGCTGGTTGTTTTTCCTGAGGTTGTGAGTCAGGAAGTCGAACTGGTCCATCCACCTCTTCATCTTCATCTAGTAAATCTCCAAACTCCTCAAATCCATGTTCTTCAACTCCAAGAATTGTGAGAATCTCGCACTCGCCGTCCATGTTGAATATGCACTCATCAATCAATCCAAATGGTTCATCCTTGTCCATGAAACGTTGGGTCATCTCCACCAATGTCCAACTGTCGGTGGTGTTTCCCCAAGTTGGTCGGGGATCCGCGTAGCTGTTCCCCACATTCTTGATGTAGGGTGTTCCAGACTCTGTCATCTGCCACGTGTTAAAGTCACAAAGCTCCATTTCCTCAAACACTTGAACCACAGTGCACACATGAAAGGAAGAAACATCTGAGTCACCATCATCTTCTCGTTCTTCAACATGACGCACACATGCTCTGATTGCAAACGATTTGTTCTTGAAATACACAGGCACCTTGATTTGATCTTGTGGATCTATCAGGAAAAGTTCATCGCTGCCTTCACCATCAATTTTCCAGCCTGCTTGGTACAACTCCCCAAGCGAAACCAAACCTGTAGTCACATCGCCAACAATAAACTCATGACGCAAAAGAACTTCTTCACCTTCAACGTCGCGCACTTGAAGGTCTGTGTTCTAGTGCCACGTGTCTTGAGCTTTCCGCCTTGACAGTTTGGCAAACCGGTACCTGCAGTTGTGTTACCATCCACTGAAACCTTGCAGGAAGCAAACTCACATCCAACCATTCTCACATGCCTACTTGAAGCTGGTGATGTAGGAGAAGAAGAGTGTGATGAGGGAGGAGTGATGTGAAAAATCCTGCGCACTGTTCCTGTTTTCGGCTGCACTGGGGACTGTCCTCCTTGACCTTGTCGATACACTGAAGACGACGAAGCTCCATTGTTGTTGACTGGAGAGCCAGTGTAGCTAGTATCTTGCTGCACGTTGTTCACATCCATACGTTGTGGGCACTCTCCACTCCAGTGACCATAGCCAAAACAGATTTTGTATTGATTGTAACCTGCTCCTTTACCTTTCTGACCATCTTTGCTCTTTCCTTTCTTGCCCTTTGACTTTCCTCCTTTGTTGTTGCCTCTTCCACGTCCTTTCTTGCCTTTGCCTTTTGCTTTTCCTCCACTTCTACCACCAAAACCACGACCTGCATCCCAAGGTATGTTCCAACCACCTTTTCCTTTGCCTTTCTTCCCCTTGCCCTTGGACTTGCCTTCAACTCTATCTACTTCCATTGGTGTGGGTCCATCGGCAACGCCCTTGTTGGCATCATGGATAGACTTCAGCACTGTCTCATGGCTCCAACTCTTCGACACACGCTCGAAGTTGAGGATCCGCTCTCTGACCTGATTGTAGGTCGCCTTGTCGTCCAAGGTGAGCTGAAGATGCTCTTTGAGTTTTGCAGGGGAACATCGAAGTAGAGTGGCTATTTTGAGTTCATCGGGGTACTTGGAATTGGAGGATTCTTAAAACCTTTGAATTGTCTCCTCAAAGATCAATATGGAATCCATACAGGATTGATCTTTGGGAAATGTTGGGTATGACGCCAACGCCTGAGCTAGCGCCAAGCTTCTCTGTCTTGAGCTAGGCTCAAATTCTCTCATCAAACTATACCAAACAGCTAAACCATCTCTGGTCTTTCAATGCGCCTTGGCCAAATGAGCGCATCGGCCACGCAAATAACTTGTCAAAACAATGTACAACTTGTGAGCCATCTCTTTCTCACCTTCACTGTAGTTTGCCATTGTTGGCATTGAATCCCTGGCCTCTATAGCTTCCAGAATTTGAATAAACCTTGAATCACCATATGTCAACCATGACATAAACTGGAAACGCCATGATGCAAAGCCCATTGCATCTTCCCCACTGTACGTGTCGGGATTCTTGAGCACCTTTGATGCTGCCTGAAGTCCATCTGAAACTGCACTTGAACTTGCTTTTGGTACAGTTGCTGCTGTTTGAACTTTTTGGGTTGTTGCTCTCTCAGCTGCTACAGCTGCTCGTGTGGCAGCTTCAGCTAATGCCACGACTCTTTCCAGCATTGCTGTTGTTGCTCCACTGCATGAACATGACCAATACTGCAAAGAAAAATCACCGCCATCAACTTTCGTCTTTCATTGCAACGCCTTCTGCCAGCACATCTTTTCTCTAAACGTGTCACTCGTGAAGTCTGACATGTTTTCATCCATTGACTGCTCATCCAATTTCTGTTCATCAATGCCAGAAACCATGTGATGCAAACCCAGATGACTGCCATCAAACCAAACTGCAACTCCTTGCCTCGTAGTTCTTGTGCTAGCGCCATTGGCATAGATGCCATCCAGCTCATAGCCATACTTGCCATTGTTCTGCTTGTAGACCTTGTCCAGGAGAGACTGCAAAGCCATACCACTGCAAGCTGCATCAAGCCAGAATGCCAAATCACCATGACCTTGTCCACCATGTAGAGGAAGATACGTAGGATAAAGATAGTGACCTTGAGGACATACTTCACCAAGCACTGCCAACCATTGAAGACATTGTCCACGAAGTTGTTCATGTAGTGATGTTCGAAGATCTTGAGGCCGATGTAGTCCAAGCAATGTGCAAGGCCAAGCTTGTAGTCAATGTTCTCCAAGAACCATGCTCCATCGAAGACCTTGAACTCATTGATCACCAAGTGCTGCTTCCCATAGTCCATCATGTCATACTCATTCATCTCCAAGAAGTGGTTCAAATTGCCGTGCTTGTCATTGGGCTCTATCTCGTTTACCAAGTTCCAGGCTTCTCCATTGTCAAGAAGACTGTACCATTTGCCAGTCTGATTCACCATCTCGTTCCAACTTCTGCACGTGCATGCCCATGCCATATCTATTCTACTTCCTGGTTTCGTCCATGGGCTTGTTGTACTTTTCCATGTAGCTACATCCATCCATAGATCTGTTGTACTTGTCCATGTCTGCGCGCTTTCTATCTGCTGGACTCCTTGTTGACCTTCTCCTTGATGTCCAACATCGCCTAAGTCATAGGGTGTTCTCCAGCCTCGGGTTCCTCAGGCATGTTCACAAAGGACTCAGCCATGCCAAGCGCCCCAAGTTCACCATTGCCACCACCAGCAGCTGCCATCAGCATCAACGACGCCATGAAGGTCCATATGACCTGGAATCTCGGAGCCCTCACCAAAGGTCCTTGTCCCTTTGGATCACTGGGCTCCGCTACCATCTCAAAACACGGCGGCCCACTTCTAAGCTCTCACACTTGTTTCCTCACTTGCGTTGCTTGAGCCACCATCCAGTGGCGTGTCATCCTTGCGCAGTCGCCTATGCAGACCTGTGACATGCATCAACTGTCACACTGATAAGAACAGATACTACACATCCAACTGAGCATGACATGACATGGGTGCAGTGGATATATCTTTACAATTACATTACACTACACTACACTACACTACATTGCATTACATTACATTACATTACAGTACAGTACACTACACTACACTACACTACATTACATTACATTACATTACATTGCATTGCATTGCATTGCATTGCATTGCTTTCCACAGCTTCCATTCCAGTGCATTACGTTGCATGACATGACATAAAACAGCATTGCATTGGTTCCGTTACATTGTAGTCAGAATAGTAATTAAATATCAACAACTGCACGTGTTCTTTCCTCTGGAACGCATTTGCTGCCATTGTAATCCATTATCCTCATTTCATTACCCGTGACGTTTGTTCCTCTAGAGTGGTTTTGCAATGATATGTGTGGTAAAAAATGTCCCGTTGACCCGGTTTCACAGTTTGGGGGGGGGAGAACAAATCAACCTCTTGCAGCTGTGCAAACGGAGCATAAAACCGTAAAACATGCAAAAAATTGTAGTGTTTTCTGGTAAATTTGAATTCTGGTTTGGCAACAGTGACAATGCATGCGGGACCATCTCTTGAACAGAAACATGTAATGGAAATCGCTGAAACCATTGAAAATCTTACAAAGATTGGCCCGTGTTTACGTGCATCCACTCACAGCAAAGTCGTGGATCTATACCGTCTATACCTATGCCTTTTGATGAAACTGGTTTGACGACACAAGCATCTGGATTTTTCATACGGCTAAGGTCACTGGGGTCCCCAACCAAAATATATATCAAAGTCTTGCGTCCTCCATCGTTTTGACTCTGGTGGCGGGCTGGATGCTCGAGTATGCGGGAACTTCGAACGCAGTTTTTCAAGAACCACCTTGCTGGGTGTTCTCCCTGTTTTCTCGATTCGGCTGTATTCAGCCCTTTTGTTTTGCTTGCTGGAGGTTTTTGCCGGTTCCAATCGAGCCTTCTCCAATAATTTCGAAGCTGGAGCATCATCCGACCAAGCAGAAAGCAATGCCAAAAAACCTGCATCTGTGTCCTTCCCCGTTGCTGAATCTCTTCGGATTTCAGCTAATGGAACAATGGACGTACGGTTGCCATCATGAAGAATTGTTTTTTCATCGTCGTTTTTTTGGTCCAACAAACCTGTACCAAATCTGTTTTCAGAAAAATTTTCTTTTTCTGTGTCTTGCGAATGTGGTGAATCAACTTCTTGAGAGCCATCTTCAATTTCGTCAATTGAAGCTAACATTGGTACTGGTTCTCTTTCTGCACGAAGGGAAATTGCAGGTCCCAGTTCGGATTCGATATCTTCTATGTCTCCTTGTGCAGCCGCCACATGAACAGCAGCTGCCCACAGACTGAGCAAACCTTGCGCATGTGTTGGTTGGACGGATTCCTCATCTTGAGTTGGATTTTTATTCAATGTTTTTTCTGGCCCAGAAATGGCGCGAATACTGCTGCCACAAGCCCACGAATACGCTTGCAAATCCATGGCAAACTCACAGCGTGTGACAAGGCAGTGTCACACCATCACAATTGTTGATGCAAGTGAGAATGGAAACAGTGCCTTTACCAGGAATAAAAGGACATCAAAAACAATTGCAAATGTTTTATTTTCATTCAAGAGTTCTTTGTCATCATATGTTGCAAAACGTACAGCATGGGCCCAAGTCTTTGGAACTAGGTCTCCACAATGTATGGTTTTATTTTACAAACTCGTGCCATATGAAGAACACATTATTCATGCAAAAATTGCATGTATGATCTACCAACATCGATTTTACAAATGTTTTCCAGACATTCAACATCCAGCTGGACATGTTCAAGCCGGTTGTTTTCGATCCAAGGTGACATTTGCGCGTTTGTGTTCGGTGTTCCCCGCATGAAACTTGCACGACACTTGCACTGCGTTTGTAATAGTCGTGAACAAGAAGGGGCAACATAAACCTTCCACAAAAATCAAGCAACATATGGATGGAGAATTGGATGGGTCATGGACCGCGCGCGAAATATACACTAATGAATGAAATAGAATTCATGATAAAAAATGAAAAAACATAATACATGCAGGCACAGGGGTTGGTTTCCAGGTTTGGCAGCGTAATAATTTGTGGGCATCCCAAATCCAAAGATGTTTCATATACCATGAATTTTTTTTACCCCACCTTTATCATCGGTTATGAGTCTTGGAACCGCTGGTAACATTGCACAAGGTGACAAGTTGGACTGATTGCAAACAAATGGTGGTGACAAAGCTGAAGCGACTGCGTTCACTTTTTTTTTCAATGTGGGATTGCGATTGCGGCCTGTTCTTCAAGCCGTGGGTTTGGCAGGAGTCAAGGCAAACCACAAGACTTGTTCTGAGCGCAAGTGCCAATGTCAGGGTGGCACGAGGGTGGGGCAACTTGACAGCGCTCAGAACAAAAACGATATGCTGAAAACATCATTGTCACAACGTTGTGAAAGTGTTGACATGTCAGACCTGATTGCAAACATCGATGTTGCAGTAAACGACATTGAGCCAGCCAGCTGAAGCGAATCCGCTTTTTCCTGCAACACATAAGTCACTATCGTTTCATGACCGTTTGATTATGAGTCTTGGAACCGCTGGCAGCATTGCACAAGGTGACAAGTTGCAATGATTGCAGACAAGTTGTGGTGACAAAGCTGAAGCAGACTGGGTTCACACCCTTTTGCAATGTGGGATTGCGAGTGCTGCCTGTTCTTCTCCCCATGTTTCAGCGCAGGCCAACAGTGCATCCCAACATTGCAACACATCTAATTCACATGCACAAGCACCAAGCTGTAAGACACGTTCCAACTTAAAATGCGATGGCCCGTCGGCCAGGTTTGAATCTGCAGGGGCTTGTGCATACCACGGCGACAGTTAGTGTTCGCACTCCAAGCCAAGCGTAGCAACTACGATCTTCCTTGCCAAAGCATTGGTCGTATGACCGGCAATCAAAGCATCTCTTACATCATTGTTGTCTGTGTATAAAACCACAGCACTAGAAACATCTTTGCTCCAAACAAGGAAGACGCAAAACAAGGCAAAGAACTCGCACTCATAGATAGCAGACTTTTTGCCAGCAAGATTCAAAGCATGTATCAATGTATCATATCAGAAAACAGCTGTTTGGAGAAATACTTCACCGGCTTCCCTACAGGGTCAGACAGCACCGCACCGATGCCAGCAAAAGTAGCATCGCCTGATTCAGGTTTGCCTGATGTTCGAAGTGGTTCAGGCTGTTTTTGACCAAATAACAAAGAAGCTTTGATGGGACGTTCTCTTGCTTTGCTTGCAGTTCCACATGGAAGAGAAATAAAAACCAGTGCAATGCGTTTTGACTCCGATTTCAGCAGTTGCAACAATATGCGCAAGTCCTGCTCCAAGGTCAAATCAAGCACCATGATTTCAGTTCCACAGCTTCTGTTCTTTGTCTTGTCTATTGCTAAGCCTCTCATGCCTTTCGACCTCACAGTCTTAGTCAGCCGTGCACTTCCTGCACAAATTTCAACCACAAGCAAATCCTGCAATTCCAAGTCTGAAAATGGGTGTAACGTTTGTTGCGGCCCTGCTGTTGGCTGCGCCGCTGAAAAATCTGCAAAAACCTGTGGCAATTGATATGCATTGGAATCCATCATAGAATCACATGAATTGTCAGAATGATCCAAGCGTATCCTCTTGTGTGCAGATGCCGGGCCTTCACATCAAGCCTTTGTTTTCAAAGACCTGCAGGTTACGACACTGTGACCTGGCTTGTGGCAATTGGCACAAACATGATATCCACGCTTGCAACGGCTGCACCCATTCTGACTCGATGTCTCATTTCAACAACCACCTTTCAAATTGTAACGCGCAGCAAATTGGGCCACTGACTGTGCCTTGGCTAAACTTCAGGTCAAAGTCTTTGAGCTCCTGTGGACAACCTTTCTGGGCCCTTGTCAATTTCCGTCTTTTGTTGATCCCTGGCCCCTGCTGTGGCTTTGTAGGCGGTGGAGCCTTTGGAGGCCCTGCTGTTGTTGTATTGGAAACTTTCGGCACTGAGGAGGGCACTGGCAGCAAGTACATGGTCACTCTGGGATGCGTTGTCAGTGGTTTGAAGGCCTGGTTCAGGGCAGGCACATCATTTGTTGGTTTCAATGATTCCTTGTACTCCTGTGCCAAAATTGTCCAAAGCTCACGGTCTGCTTTGATGACCTGTTCACTTCTGACTGAGCTGTAACCTGCCGGGTAATCACGTGCCATAGCGCTCAACAAATACTGTACCCAAGCCTCATGTATATGCCAGTCCAAAAGCCTACAGGTATCAAAAGCCAGTCCACGGCGTTGATACGCCCAACAAAGCTTGAGTTCCGTGCCAACGTCTGCCGTTGTTGTCACTGGTACCTGTGCTAGCTTCAAGGTTGAGTTCTCGACCTGTACCGTTGCTGAGCTGGGCTTGATATTTGCATGGATCTCATCATCCCTTTTCGAACATCTGGATGGAGCTACCCAAATGATTGCCCCACTTTCTAAAATTGAATTCACCAAATCAAGCAGCTGATGACTTGGAGCTAGTTCTCCAATCATTTTCAAACCTGAGAGCCGTGCTTGCTGTCTCTCCAACCTTGCCTGCTTTTCAGCCGCCGGCAACTTCTTGACCAAGGAACCTGGATCTGCTGAATCTGATTTGACCTGTTCATTCAGCGAAGCCACAATCAAGGTTGTTGCCTCACAGTGCAAACGTCTAAGATTTGACACTTGCCCCAAAGTGGGGTCAGCTCCATAAATCTTTGCTGCTAAGTCATCGTGTTGTCGGTCTGATTGCGCTGTCTGAGGCGTTCCAATGGTGAATGCCAACGCTGAAAAACATTTCACCCCTTGGTTCTTCAACCCTTCCAGCAAAGCTCCAGACTCGTCGATGTCTGAACACCGTTTCTCAAGCGAAGCAGTGCTATCGATCAGTGTCATGGCTTGCAACGGGGTCAGTGGTTCAAACTAAACAGCAGACGTGAAATGAAAATAACATGCATGAAGTCTCATCTGAATGCCCTCATGAACATGATGAGAAAACAAACGTGGTTTGATAACTTCTGAAACTTAAGTCAAGTCCAAGTGTCCCCACCTGTTGTGCGACATCAGATGAACTCTGTCACTCAAGTTTGGAGTTTGTCTGCAATATCCACAAACTGAAAAATTTGGCTGCGGCCTTTGGTCCACGGCAACAAGACACACTATCCAAATTGATGTGTCTCGTGAGATCCATCCGCATGTTTTCTCCAAGTGTTCTCAACATGCCCTTGCAAATGCGTCTCAAAAATTAAATCAGTATGAATTCAAATAAATGCCTGCCACAAAAAGTTTGTGATTCACAACTGCACCAACTGATCAATCTTGAATGATTGTTCCAAGTTGATATGAGATTCCAAAGGACCGCAACCTTTTTTAAACCTCCGCTCGGCTCTCGCTGCATTGAATCTTCAAACAACGCCAGCTTCGCCTTTGGGTTTGGTGGCACTCACACACAATCTGCAGACCGGTGTGTCATAACGGATTGACATATTGACATATTGCTCTTTGTATGGAGTGGCCCAATCATTCTGTTGCACATGAAGACTCTCTTGAAGTCAGGTGGCGCTAGGTGCAACGTCTTCAGTTTGGCATGCTGGCAGAAGATGTAGCCAGCAGGTGGTTCAGGCGGCAAGTAAAGCTTAAGCCTAAGCCTTTTCTGTTCCTCCTGAAACTCTTCCTGCGAGCTGCTGTCACTAGAGCTGGTGCCAACTTCGTGATCACTCTCGCCCTCTGACTTTTCACTCACCAAGTCAACGCTCTCAACTGCCCTCACTCCTCTCTGCCCGACGGCATGGGTTTTGCTGATCCATCAGTTGTTGCAAGGCTCTGGTGAACAAAGCGCCCACTCCTGGTTGAATCTGGCAAAAATCTGCCAACCCTGATATCTTCAAGCACCCTGACAAGTTTTGCCAACGGCTCTGAAGAGGCATCCCTGGAATAGGTATGCACCATCTTCAATCCAGTTCCGCCTCCAGCATGATAGCCAAGCTGCAACCTTGTCATTGGGTCAACACCATACTTGGCGCAGAAACTCAGGCACGTCACTTTGCAGCTATGGATAGAAATCTTGCGACTCCCATCAACCCTCTTGTCCCCTGCTAACAGCTTGCGTAGCCACTGACTGGCTTCATTGGACGTCAGCGGCCTCTGTGTAGGGCTCCCATCACTGTCAGGGGCTGGCATGATGGTATGAAAAGGTGGCAACATGATGCCAGCACTGTGTCTGCTTTCCATCCAATGTTCAGGTCAGCAGTCGCTGCTCACACCAAATGCAGGCGCCGTCAACGGCAAATATGCGAGGCTGTGTGACCCTCCATGAACCTCAGGACATTGTGGTCGTCCCGATCCAGAAGCACTTCAGTGCTCTGCATCAGATCTGACCAACGGGCCCTCGATTGCACTGCAAACAAAATTGCCCCTGAAAAAATCCTGTCCCATGTTTCCCCAGTCAAAAGCTTTGTATGC